AAAAAAAAAAAATCTATCACTGGATTTAAAGACAGATTAACATGAATCCATTAATAGTAGGTAATTTTGATATACTACTTTCTACAATAGACAGATTACCTGAACAAAAAATAGAGAATCACAATTAATTGATATCATACATCAAACTGATACAGTAGATATTGACAGAATATTCTATCCCAACAGTAAAGAACACATCCTACTCAGAAGGACATGAAAGTTATTCTTAAATAGACCACATTCTGGGATACAAACCAAGTTTTTACAGATTTGAAATAAGATTGAAATCCCTTTTTGTAACCTATCTAAACACAACGCAATAAAACTTACAGCAATCAAATGTCTAAATACAAAAACTCATGGAGATTAAACAACTCATTACTAATCAATGAATGGGCCAAAGCAGAAATCAAGTAAGAAATGTAAAAAATTCCTGAAAATAGATTAAAATGGAAACACAACAAAACCTCTGGGATACATTGAAAGCAGTACTACGAAGGAGATTTGCAGCTTCTAATGCCTTCATTAAAAAGTCAGAAAGACCCAAAAGTCTGGGAGTGGGACTCTATCTCTGTCCACCACCAATTCAGGCCCAGGTGGGACTGTGAGTTCCTGGCCACGGTGTCTTCCAGGACAGGGCTGCTACAGAGGGCTATGTCTGGGTTCGTGGCCCTAGAGCCACCAGGATTTGACTTGATGTCTGTTCTCACCAAAAGTCATGTGGATGATCAGGGTCTGGTTGGTCACCTGAGACTGTGCTAATCTGTGTGGCCTGTGCCGCCTTTTGGTGCCATGGAGATATTCAGATACAAACACAGGCTGCTGCCTAGAGCCATGACCGGGACTTTGGCCCTGTAGAGGCCAGAGTCTTGTGTGGTGTCTTTGGCTCCAGGGGCCATCAAGGGTTCTACAGATGCCCGGAGTCTGGCGAGCAACCTGGAACTATGTTGGTGCACAGAGGCCATGCTGCCACCAGTGCTGTGAGTGACCTGTGATGTCACCAGGCTGTGGTAGTATCTGGCCCTGAACTGCTGTCAAGGGCCATGTCTAGGTCCATGATCCTACTGCAGCTGGAGTCTGTGGCGATGTCCTTGCCCCATGTTATCATGGGGATCATTGGAATCATGTTGTGCCCTGCCCTTCACTGGCCCTGCGATAACTGGTCCCTCCGTTGATGGCTATTGCAGCAGACTAGCTGGCCCTACCCCTCGGGAGAGAACTCATTCTTGCACTCACACTCAGGAAAGATGACCCACCCCTCACAATAGATGTGCACTTCACCTAGGAAGCACACTAGAGCTGACCCTGTTGTGTGGGTCACAGTTGAGACAGCCCTGAGGGCATGATAGCAGGAAGCTAACCCACCTCTTCTGCCCCCTACAGCAATCAGGAGACAGGGTCCTGTACCTTTCCTGGGCAAAACAGTAGGGCTGGCCCTAGTGATATGAGTCAGGGAAATCCAGATCTGAATGGTCCAAGAGCAGAACTGCGCCCGCTTCTTGCTGTAGGCTGCATTGGCTGATCTAGTTGAAGCAGGACTGGAGAGCTCATGCAGGTAGTGATGATCAGGAAAAGCTAGCAAGCTGGCCAATCAAGCTATCAGCCAGGTTCAGAACCAGGACTATGAGTTGGCCCATTCTAACATCCACCATATCTATGAACTACTGGAGCATGTGAAGGGGATGAACCTACAGATCCAAAAGTGCAAGATCTCCATGACACAGGACAATAGGATATCCAAGAGGGTTGCAAGTAAAGATGAATGGGTTTACCTGTATGCTAAACTCTGTATCTCAATGGGACACACTATAGCTTCTACAACAAGATTCTTCTTCTTCT